TTAACCCCTTAAGGACACATGACAGAAATATTCCATAAGGATTCCTGTTTATTCCAGATGTTGTGTCCTTAAGGGGTTAAAACATTTCACAAAAGTCTCTAATCATTATATATAATTTGATGCATCTAGCAAAAGCAATAACATTGACCCTAACTAGTGATGTCCCGAACGGTTCGCCAAACGGTTCGCGAACGGTTCGCCACGAACGGTTCGCCACAGACTCATCATTGAGTAAACTTTGACCCTGTACCTCACAGTCAGCAGACACATTCCAGCCAATCAGCAGCAGACCCTCCCTCCCAGACCCTCCCACTTCCTGGACAGCTCACTAAGAATGCAGCTTCACAATGAATGTAAAATGGATGCTGTCCAGGAGGTGGGAGGGTCTGGGAGGGAGGGTCTGCTGCTGATTGGCTGGAATGTGTCTGCTGACTGTGAGGTACAGGGTCAAAGTTTACTCAATGATGAGTCGGTGGCGAACCGTTCATGGCGAACCGTTCGCGAACCGTTCGGCACATCACTAACCCTAACATAAACGAACAGACATTTATTTAGACAAGAAAGATAGTAGAACAAAGAAAAGGGAAGTTGATGAAAGAAGAGAATATGACCTCTGGGAATTAAGATATCAGCACATCAAATTACAGAAAACACACAGAAAAAAATGCAATTGGTTAATTAAGATAGATTAGCAGATAGAATAATGATCATGTGATGGCTAAAGCTGAAAATCAATAATAGTGGGACTTTATTCCAGAAGTTTACAATATATTTAATTTAATTTTATTGACAGGGAACTCAAGTTCTCCAGGAATTTTTGAAATCTAAGGAAATGATTGGAGCTACAATTCTGCAGAGTGACAATGCCCTGACCGAGAAGGAAAAGGAAATGGAAGGTGTGCAATGAGAACATTAAACTTTCCCCAAAGTACCCAATTCTATACTATATCCAAACTAAACTTGTGCACAGAAAGAATCATCAGTTCTATCAAATCATTTTTTTTCAAAGATAGGACATTTTTTGTGACACTCTAATTTGAGCCAAATATCAGTTCCGCTCATCCTAATGTCAATTTGGGACCGAGCCCAGAGAACAAACCAAAATGGTGTGATATTGGGCCAGTCAGTGTACCACAAAATAAATACCTAATATAATATTATGAACATATTTTGCAGTATACCGATAGGAGGATATTTCCATTATTTGGTTCTTAGAGAAAGTAAGAGAATGTAACCAATAGAGAGAAAAACAGACGGAGCCTTAAATAAAAAAATATATATTTACAATTGATCTAAATGTAGACTTCTTCTCTGATCCTCCAATCTTCCCCTCTATTGCTCACTTATCACTTGATCTGTGAATAAAATTAACACTTAGTGACTTAGTTGTCATTAATGGTAAATTTTCAGGCTGGACAAAAGTGGTAAGTGGTGTCCCTCAGGGTTCCATTTTGGGAACGCTTCTATTTAACATATATATAAATGATCTTGAAATAGGCATTGAAAGCCATGTATCAGTGTTAGCAGATGACACAAAACTTTGTAAAGTAATAAAATGTGAGCAGGATATTGCTTTGCTGCAGAGGGATTTGGATAGATTGGGGGACTGGGCACTAAAATGGCAGATGAAATTTAATGTAGAGAAATGCAAGTTATGCACTTTGGGGTCAAGAATGCACAAGCAACTTACACCCTAAATGGTAGTGAATTAAGGATAACCACACACGAGAAGGATTTGGGAATTGTTATAGACAACAAATTAGGCAGCAATATGCAATGTCAATCTGCAGTTGCTAAGACCAGTAAGGTTTTGTCATGTATAAATAGGGGCATAAATTCTCGGGATGAAAATATAATTTTGCCTCTTTTGAAATCGCTGGTAAGACCACACCTTGAATATGCTGTGCAATTTTGGGCACCTGTTCTAAAGAAGGATATCATGGCACTAGAAAAAGTGCAGAGACAAGCTACAAAATTGATAAAAGGAATGGAGCATTTTAATTATGAAGAAAAGTTAAAACATTTTAATCTCTTTAGTTTGAAAAAACGGCGCCTGTAACATTATACAAATATATTTGGGGCCAGTACAAACAAATATCTGGAAATCTATTCATAAACAGGGCTATACATAGGACACAAGGTCACACATTTAGGCTGGAAGAAAGGAGATTTCATCTAAGGCAAAGAAAATATTTTGTTTTACAGTAAGAGCAATAAGGATATGGAATTCTCTGCCTGAAGAGGTGGCTTTAGTCCATACAGATGTTTAAACAGCAATTTGATAAATACTTCCAAAAACATAACATACAGGGATATCATTTCTAATTAGTGGGGTAATTGCTGCTTGCTCCAGGGAGACATCTGACTGCTATTTTGGGTCAAGAAGAAATTTTTTCCTAGTTTGTTGCAAAATTGAAGGCCCTTCATACTGGGTTTTTTGCCTTGTTTTGGATCAACAGCAAAAACATATGTGAGGAAGGCTGAACTTGATGGACGCAAGTCTCTTTTCAGCTATGTTGCTCCTCTGCTATTATTCATCTTTTCTTTTTCTAATCAATTACCTCTTCTTTTTTGTGCCATGGCAGAATTCCAAATATTGACATGTTCGGTTTTGCACTGTTTGGTTTGTCTATAAGTCAGGTAAATTTTGTCTTGGGATTTAGGAATTCAGCCGAACACGTGATCAGATCATTTTCGACCAAATTGCAGTTCAGTCTGAAATGAATCTCAAAGCCTAATCCAAGTCCTACATGTATCACCTGTTACCTCCAACGCAATGTATAGAATGTCATATTACTTTCTCTTTACAAAACAACATTTGCCCTGTCATCTCTTAATTCTATCTAAAAATATGGAATGTCATATCATCTCTTATTCCTATCTGAATATATGGAATGTCATATCATCTCTTATTCCTATCTGAATATATGGAATGTCATATCATCTCTTATTCCTATCTGAATATATGGAATGTCATATCATCTCTTATTTCTATCTGAATATATGGAATGTCATATCATCTCTTATTCCTATCTGAATATATGGAATGTCATATCATCTCTTATTTCTATCTGAATATATGCAATGTCATATCATCTCTTATTTCTATCTGAATATGTGGAATGTCATATCGCTTTCTTTGTCCAACCACAATGTCAGTAATGGGCATTGTCTGATTTTAATGTTTCTTTGTTCATGCTATAAGGAACAGTGATGATTTTGGCCTAGTGATTTCCCAAGGAACAATGACAAAATTACCCGTGCTATCATCAAGTCTGCTAATAAGAATGAATTTTTCCAGACACAACAATCATTAATTGGGGCTTTAAACAGACAGGTGCATGTTGATTACTGATGGCACATCAGCCACCTAACTTTAACTAACTGTAGAATAACGTGTAACTTGTAAAATTGCTCAGAGTTGTGCATTTGCTCACAAAGAGATGTGTTGGGTAAATATAAGAGTATATATAGGAGTATTCAGCAGGTAAAAAATAGGTGGTTGGGTAATGGTTAAGAGTGGGCATCAGAATGTACCAAACAACCAAATTACCAATTTTCAGATACAATACTTCGTTGGATGAAGTTATAAAATTCATCTATTTTTGTCAGCTCAGTTTTTTTTCTCTCTCCATTCTATAGTGGAGAGAGCAATGGCAGAAGCCAGAGAGAGGGAAAGGAAAATTAAGGAAGAAGAAGAATCCCAGAATAAGGAAAAGATCAAAGACGACAAGAGGACATTGGAGGAGAACTTTAAACAGCTGCTGGAAAAGGTGGAAAGAGGGCAGAAACTGATGCAGGCACAAGTGGAATGCGTCATTGCTGAGAAGAATAGGGTGAGAACTAATTTCTTTCTCTGCACTGATACCATATTCTTCACCATATCACCTGGACTTTCATTCACTTAATATCATTGTATCCTAAACTTTGTAATTCATTTTATAATTCACTATATTTAGTAAATTAACACTATAATTTATGATAACTAACTCACCAATAAAAAGTTACTTATTTTGTGTTTTTATATTTTCTTAGGAACGACAGATGTATGAAAATCAGGGGGATAGACGAAACGCCAGCATGTACCAGGCCCAGATTGACGACCTTGAAGTAGAGAGAAAGCAATACTCGGGACCTGCTTGGTACACACCCATAATGGATTCCATAAAATATGTCGCTAGCACCTTTCTTCCTAAAACAATTGTCCTGGCTGGGGAGTTGGCAAATGGAGTAATGACTACTTTTCTAAACCAAAAAAAGGAGGAAATGGAAAAAAAATAGGGGTGCACTGCCATTGTGAAGTTACTGCGTATACTTATCTGAAAATATCTTGTAAATCACAGTGCAGCTCAAAAAGAAAAGAAAACACCTATTTGTAAATTTAATCAAATGCAATTCTGATACAATGATTTCTAGTATTTTACTTATATCATGCTGGTATAATTAAAAGGGCAAGTTATATCGACTAAGTGTAACAATGTATACCATAGGGGGCATGGAAAAAACACAAAATAAATATAAATGTGGTATCAACGTACTCAATACAATACTCAATGGTCTTAGCAATAATTTATAATTCACTGTGATATATTATCTAAACGGTGATAGTATAATGCCAGATATAGTAAGAGGACGTTAAAATATACAAGATATAATGCAGAGCAATTTAATTGGAACATAAAAAAAATATATTTTGTAATCTTATGAAAATTGCAAACTGTTAATAAAAATACTTTGTGGCACTTCACCTAAACAGTAAAGCGCAAAATAGAAAAAGTATAGAATATAAGAACACAAAGTACCTATATATTAAATACAATATAGAACTGTGTCTAATATGATACAAAGTATCAAAGGAAATAGCAATGTGGATGCAGCGTACTCTCCTTAATGAGACAGAATAAGATTGAGGTTAGAACAGTTACAAGACTTATAGTCCACTCTCAGCTCTAAGTTATATAATGAGAGAACTTCCAGCTCATTGTTCTGCTCTTTCTCCTTCTGTATTTAGAACCAGCTATTGCTTAGGGATATGATAACCAGTGATGGTAAAATGTGATATTTATTTTGCACACAGGTAAAAACAAAATATAATGAAGACACTGTAAAGGGCCAAACAGGAATGTGAGCAACGTGGGTAACTGCACAGTCTACGTCTATAAACAGCACAAGAAATGTTTTTTGCTTCTAAAGCCACACATGGTGGACTAGAGGCTGAGGTCAGTAAGGTGGTATCAGTTCCACCAGTGGACTTGTACCCTATATCTATAATTAACACAAGAAAAGAGTGGCTCCAGAAGGAGGTGTGACTCAAAAGCTGATATCTTATGTATATGAAAGCCAATTTCTACTAAACAGCTACAGCTAAACTAGCTTCCTTCCTGAAAATAGTGTGTACCATAAACCTATGCCCCACAGGTAGCAACTGGCACCCATCTGTAACCAAAATAATCAAACCACTTTATAATATCTTGTGTTGGTACAGTGAGTACGTCGCTGGGTGGCAAAAAGCTAAAAAAAAAACTATATACATATATACACACCAAAGCAGGAACCTCAGTCTCCGGTAAGTTAATTGAGTATTGTGGTGGGAAAGATATAATAATAATAATCTTATTCCATTAGTTGTCACTTGAACCCAATAATAAGGATATTAAATCCAGAGTGAGGAGTGGGGTTGTTGGCTAAACTTACCAGAAACTGTGGATACTGAGGTTCCTGCTTTGGTGTGTATATATGCATATAATTAGGCAGTTAAATAGGCAGTATTAAAACATGAAAAGCTTACGGTAGTAATTAAAAACATATCGTCATATCCTTGCTGCTAGGTCAGATGCTCATCAATCTGTACCACCCTGCACAGTTTCAACTAGAAGGAGTATGTATACAAACACTTTATGTTAAGTGCGTTAGTATCGCCTAGTCTATTAAAACTCTGACATGCGGGGTTAACGAATGCTTATAAACTAAAAAATTACTAACAAGACTGTAACAATATGGGAGCAGGGCTGTTCTCTATGTCTAAGCTTCTGGCCAAATGAGTCCTAGATGTTGTTGAGTTAGGTTGGGACATCCAGATCTGGGGCCCGCGGGGAGCCCTCTTTTGCTTCCACCTTGGGCAGACTCCGGTCCATCGCTGGGTAGATCCTTGGCGCCGTGGGCACTCAGTTGCGTGGTAAGTCTAGCAGATCCCCCCCACGCAGAATCCCCCTGCCGCTCGTCCCCTGCACCTCTCCGGCTCCCCCGGATCAGGCCAGTCCATGTCTCGTCTGGCTCCGGTCTCATACTTGGCACGAGTGCGCGCCCCCCAGCCACAGGTTCCGCTGGAGGTTCCGCGTCTCCTGTCATGGTTTCCCTTGTGGTTGTCTGAGAGCGCGTTATATATTCTGGTAATTCTGGTTATTTGACGTTGGAATTGTTTTTGACTTCCCTGTTTTCTGGTATCCCTGACTCCTGGCTTTTCCTTATCGTTGTGTCTCTTTCTGTATCCCTTGACCTAGGCTATTCCTGACTATTCTTTGGTATGTTAGTCCGGCCATTCTAAGGTCCGTTATACATTACCTATCAGTCCTCTGTGTTACACAGTTCTACGTGCTGGATCATTCTGTAATCCTGACATTACAACATGGCCATAGATCCTGTAGAATTGTGTAAGCACATAGCTGCTTGCGAAAGGAAACTGGAGGAAAATGATCACCGCATGCATCAATTTGCCCAGTCCTTCAGTATGTTTCTTACTCGAACAGCACATCTGCAACCTGCGGCCTCACCTCCATCTTATGTACCTCACCTATAGTACAGAAGGCACCTACTATCTCCCTATCTCCTCCCCTGCATTTTGATGGTAATATTCAAGAATGCAGGGGATTCCTTAACCAAATAGAATATCATTTTGAGGCCTCACCGGGATCTTTTCCCACAGACAGAGCTAAAATTGGTTACCTGATGAATTAGTTAAAAGGTAAAGCTTTAGCTTGGGCCAATCCATTATGGGAGAGTAATAGGAGTGTGGCACACAATTACCAGGAGTTTCTTACGGAATTTAAACTTACGTTTGAACCTTTAGGCAGGGAGGACGACGCCTCCAGTGCTCTGATGCACATCAGACAAGGGAACCGATCTATCTCGGATTATGCCATAGAATTTCGTACCTTGGCTTCTGAGGTAGACTGAACTAGCAGTGGGCTAATTTCTGCATTTAAATAGGGACTATCTGACACTATGCTAGATGAGATTGCTGCCAAAGATCCACCCAAGAAACTTAACAAGTTCACCACATTTGTTATGCAAATTGATAATAGACTAAGAACCAGAGAGAATACAATACTAGAAATAAGACCAGATGTATGACTATACCTTTAACACCCCGTCTCTTCGAACCTATTGTTCCTGACCTTCCAATACAGTCCGAACTTGAACCCATGCAGTTGGGGGTCACTAGACTGTCAGAGGCTGAAAAACAATATAGGAGAAATGAAGGTTTATGTTTATACTGCAGTAGTAATGGACATATGAGAGACAATTGTCCCATACGTCCGGAAAACTACCGCACCTAAGTGCCTTAAGGAGACAGCTCTTAGGTTTAATGGAGACGTCCTCTGAAAATAATAAATATAGACTTCTCATTGATATTTCGATTATTTTTTACAAAAAGCACTTTTCATGCAAAGCCCTGATGGACTCAGGGGCTGCTGGAAATGTCATTGATGTCCAATTTGTCAAGGATAATACTATACCTATCAAGGAGAGACTATCACCCCTAGCCATTGAAGCTATTGATGGGAGACCACTATCACAACCATTAATAACGCATGAAACTTTACCCATAAATATTTCCATTGGTGCCTAAGGAAGGGATTATATTTCAGGTGATTGCATCTCCTTCTTGTCCTATCATATTAGGAATTCCATGGCTTAGCAAGCATAACCCTCACATTGACTAGGCTAATGGGGAAATATTAGAATGGGGTAAGGAGTGTAATAAAAGGTGTATATTGCATGTCACAAAAAGAGTGGGCACTATCGAATTACCCACTAGTACATCTCAAAATCCTGAGATTCCTATACAATACCATGACATTAAAGAAGTATTCAGCAAGACTCAGTCTAATACGCTACCTCCTCATAGACCATATGACTGTTCCATTAACTTACTACCCGGTGCTATGCCACCTAAGGGAGCAGTCTATGCTCTATCTCCTCAGGAATATATGGAGGAATATATTAAGGATTCAATGAATAAAGGCCATATACGAAAATCATCCTCGCCTGCTGGTGCAGGATTCTTTTTTGTATCTAAAAAGGATGGTGAGTTGAACCCATGTATCGATTACAGGGCATTGAACAAAATCACCATTAAGAACGCCTACCCCATTCCTCTTATTGCTAAATTATTTGACAGATTCCAGGGTGCTAAAGTGTTTACTAAGCTTGATCTTAGAAGTGCTTACAATTTAGTGAGAATCAAGGAAAACCACGAGTGGAAGACTGCATTTAATACCAGAAGTGGACACTATGAATATCTAGTGATGCCATTCGGGTTGTGCAATGCTCCAGCGGTTTTCCAAGGTTTCATTAACGATGTACTCAGGGATTATATTTACTCGTTTGTCTTGGTCTATCTGGATGATATCCTTATTTATTCTCCTGACCTCTAGTCTCACCACGATCACGTTAAACAAGTTCTGCAAACCTTGTTAAAAAAAAAAAAAAAACTTTATTGTAAATTGGAAAAATGTCTGAAGTACAGTTTTTAGGATATAATATTTCTGCCTTGGGGTTTCAGATGGATCCTAAAAAACTAGAGTCTGTTCTACAGTAGCCTTTGCCCAATGGGTTGAAAGCCATTCAAAGGTTCATTGGTTTCGCAAATTATTACAGAAGATTTATAAAGGGATTTTTTTCAGTAATAGCCCCTATCACCAATATGACACGCAATGTGGCTAGTAGTACGATATGGTCTAAGGAGGCTATTGAAGCCTTTGAAACTCTCAAACAACGGTTTGCCTCCACCGACATATTGATACATCCTAACACCAGTAAGCCTTTCATACTGGAGGTTGATGCTTCAGAGACAGGGGTAGGGGCAGCTCTTTCCCAGACGGAGAGCCAGGAAACTCTGTTACATCCTTTTGGTTACTTTTCTAGAAAGTTGTCTCCTGCTGAGCGCAATTACGATGTTGGCAATAGAAAATTGTTGCCCATTATTCTAACTCTCAAGGAGTGGCAACATCTTTTAGAGGGTTCCAAGGACCCCCTTTTGATCATTACTGATCACAAAAACCTGGCTTACATAGGAGATGCTAAGCAATTATCTTCTAGACCAGCTAGGTGGTCTCTATTTCTTTCTCACTTTAATTTTCTTATCACTTACAGACCTGGTTCTAAAAATGTCAAGGCCGACGCCTTGTCCAGGCAGTTTGATACTGAAGCTATACTAGAGCAAGAACGTCCCATATCATTCCTCTGGAATGTATCATTGCGTCCACTGTCCTTTCATTGTCCTTGTAACGGATCACCTGGCACCCCGACTGGGTACCTCCTTTAAAGGATGCTCCTAGCGCTTCCATCTTCCCAGTAACTGCAGCAGAGGACCCAAAGTTCAGATAGTCCTTTAACTCATTCACTGAAGCTCCATCTAAAGCGGTCTGGCAGGTCTTGATTGCTATGACCTCTATTGTCTCTCCTCCTACGTCTGCCTGGCTAATATAATGGGTGCCATAGGTTTGAACAAATTGACGGTACTCTGGTTTAGTCTTTGTGCTGTAGGATTCTGGCAGGGACATTAGAGACTCCTTAAAATGTTGACTCAATAAAGGGTTTGGTTGCACTCGGAAACTATGGATGATGAAAATAAAAATAAATAAAACTAAGAAAGCATATTAATTAAAACCTTTGTGCGAATAACGTTTTACATATTTAGAAAAACATATAATAAATGATAGCTTATTGATCAAACATAAAGAATAATCTGATGAAGTATACTTAGATAGTTAAATGTTTCACACTAATATAATAGCTTTTTTTTCATAGAAAATGTGTGAATTGTTGTTTGTAAGGTTTTAAGCTCCTTTAACAGTTGTAAATGTAAAAATTTTTAAGAATGTTCCAATCATCATATCACCACATGCTCCTTTTATAGACTATGGTACAAGGATGTCCTGAAGATATTTGTTATCACTAAGCTCATTAAAAATAAACACGTCTACCAGTTATAGCTGTGAATACATTTATATTTTTGCATGAATTAATCTCCTGCCAGTTATAAAATATACATTGCTTAAAGCTCTAAAGCATTGCTCCTCAACCCTCTCCATAAGGGACGGCTAACAGTTCAGGATTTATGGATTACAAGGGTGTGTCTAAGGTGTTTAAAAAACAAACAAAAAACAACACTGTAGAGTCTAAGTTATTTTTATTTTTTTGTTACCTGTGTAATCCTTAAATCCTGGACTGTTCGGTGTGCCTTAAGGAGAGGGCCGCAAATGTGCTGCTGATATATATACACGCACCCACTGCTCTATAATATAGATGATTATGGTTTTATTAAAGCTTGTATTTTTGCAGGTGACTCACTCATACCACAATATCCATTGGCACACCTTAATGGGGGGGGGGGATGTTTAACCCTGAAATGTAAACATTGCTGTGTCTACTAACAGGCAATACCTTACATTGTAGGGTTAAAAGTAATGAGCTACACCACCTGGACCACTTCATTGAGAAGAAGTGGTCTCGGTGTTCCTTAAGTGGTCCTTTAATTAACAAACCTGACACTGTGAGTAAGAGAAAATGAGATGGCTTTCAGATGAATCAGACAATTGCCATAGCTTGTGAAGAAATTTACACGGCATATAATCTCAGTATTACGGTAACTTTATATGTAACAGGCACAAGCCAACTCTACTTTCTTTGTAAATATCAACCATAATCAAATAACCATAGTTATAATCAAATAATCAAAATCATTTGTTGTACTCCATACCTGTAATAGATACATCTGAGCTGTTGCTTGATGAAGCTATACTAATCAGACATGGCTTTTCCTTCGGTAAATAGGTTTATAGCTGATTGAGATCCATCCAACTGCACTTTAGCATTCTCTGGTCCGTGCTCGATTCCAAGCCATTTTTCTCCCAATTATTCTTCACTGAGGACTCTAATTCTTCAGCCAAAGAAACAGAGGATCTGGAGACCTCACTGGTCACTTTCCTTATGCAGGAAGAATATGGCATCCAGTCAGTCATAGACAGTGGCAACTTCTGCAAAGCCATATTGTTGTAAGGGTTTTAACAGTGCACATATTATCTTTTGATTGGTAAGCTTGAAGATCTAAGACAGAAGCACTGGCCTTCGTCATTGACGTTATGTGAAAACCTGCTCCAAGAAGGGTGTGTCCTGGAACAAAACATTCTTACATTCTGGTCCATTTTCATTGTGGCACGCATTGGTCAGGGGTGGGTGATCAGAAAAGAAGTAAGACGGAATGAAGAAGCATATAACACAGATGGGCAGCATGGTTTGATGAATTGGTAGAATATTTTGTAAACGTGGCTGGTTCCCTTATTTACCACAACCCTTATTTACAATTTGAGGAGATGATTATAAAGAACTGGTTAGACAGGTAAATTTTTCATTCATTCACTCTCTACCTTTCACCACATTATTTTTCACACAGGTATTTTAGATGTATGCGGTATACTGTTTTTGCTCCAGTATTGATAAGACCCTAAACTTAGATCATGGTTATAAATTGCTACAAATCGGCAATGAATTCTGGAGCAGAGACATCCCCAACCCCACCGATTCTTATCTCAGCTCTATATAATTGACATACTGTAACTGTAGCTGTCAATCAGCCACACACATCATTCTGTATAATATGTGTCAAAGACATCAGAGTTAATAGCAATAATCAGACTTTTTCAACATAGATTATTTGCATCACATATTGTAAGAAAAAACATTGAGCTCTCATTGAAACTTTAGATTTATTATACCCTTAAGCACTGAAGTAATCTTCTTTTTTACATTTACATATTTCCCTATAGTTAGTGCTGATGGGATAAAGACCTTCTTATCTTTGTCTGTGTGAAGATAACAGGTCTGTGTATATTTATCAGGAAGACTTATGGCAGGAAATAACCGCAAAGTTAACAATCTACGAGAATTGCCACAATCGTGACTTGACTGGAATAAAACATCATCTCTAGTATGCAATGTACATGGTTAACCAACAAATAAATAAAGTGCAATACAAACCAACATGATTCATCACCCTGCAATGCATTCAGTGGTAAATGCTGAGGATTATATGACATGTATAACTTCCTTTACTGGTACATTCACAACATCATGGTTACCACTTGACTGATCTCAGCCACTGCGAAGCGTCTGGGTTACTTGGTAAACTGGTGGTTCCAAAGAAATGGCTCAGTGGGCAAACTGTAAAGACCATAAAGTCACTTATCACGAACACCAAGACAGAGAATACGATCTCTAATAAATATAATGAATTAATTAGTAGCAAATATTACGCAGGTACAATCAGTTCCCATCAAATACAATGGTCTAGGAATCTCTATATCTAATTTTGTTTGTATGTTTTGACTATCCCTAGGCTTAGATATTACACTTGACCTGAGAAATGTAGAGATTTGTTAAGGGAACATTGAGGATTTTAAATTGTAGGCCAAAATATCTATCTATCTATCTATCTATCTATCTATCATCTATCTATCTATCAATCCATCTATCATCTATCTATCTCTATCTATCTATCTATCTATCTATCTAGCTATCTAGCTATTTCTATCTATCTATCTATCTATCTATCACCATGTATTTCTATCTATCTATCTATCTATCTATCTATCTAGCTATTTCTATCTATCTATCTATCTATCTATCTATCTATCTATCTATCTATCTATTGTTAATAGAACATTGAGGATTTTAAATTGTAGGCCAAAAAAAACTATCTATCTATCTATCTATTACTATGTATTTCTATCTATCTATCTATCTATCTATCTATCTATCTATCTAGCTAGCTATTTCTATCTATCTATCTATCTATCTATCTATCTATCTATCTATCTATTGTTAAGAGAACATTGAGGATTTTAAATTGTAGGCCAAAAAAACTATCTATCTATCTATCTATCTATCTATCATCTATCTATCTATTTCTGTCTATCTATCTATCTTTCTATTCCTATGTATTTCTATCTATCTATCTATCTATCTATCTATCTATCTATCTTTCTATTCCTATGTATTTCTATCTATCTATCTATCTATCTATCTATTCCTATGTATCTTTATCTATTCCTATCTATTCCTATCTATCTCTATCTATTTTATCTATCTATCTATCTATCTATCTATCTATCTATCTATCTATCTATTACTATGTATTTCTATCTATCTATCTATCTATCTATCTAGCTATTTCTATCTATCTATCTATCTATCTATCTATCTATCTATCTATTGTTAAGAGAACATTGAGGATTTTAAATTGTAGGCCAAAAAAACTATCTATCTATCATCTATCTATCTATCTATCTATCTATCTTTCTATTCCTATGTATTTCTTTCTATCTATCTCTCTATCTCTATCTATATCTTTCTATCTATCTCTATCTCACCTATCTCACCTATCTACCTATCTACCTTATCTCATACCTTGAAATATAATAATTAAAAACTGCTCAAGAATCTGAAACAAGTATATTCCATTTTTATGAAATGACTGAGAGTGTTCGTGTCCACAGCATAAGCAACAAGAGGAAAGTTCCCTCAATACCTGAAAATGACGTTCCTTTGCTTTAAATTGGGTCTAAGAGTGACAGTACTTATATACAAATCATAGAGAAATATATATATACACCCGGACAAATCGTGCTGAGCAGCAAGTGGCACTGCATAAGAGACAAAAAGGCCTTTTTAAAGCACAGCCACCTTACCTACATTCTTTGTATAAGGAATAGGAGCCTCTAAAAGTTGTGACCAATGAGTCTCCCATTATTATTCTAATACTACTACTGTGGATAGTGCTGGACTTTGGTTCTTGAGGACACATAATGTTAGCTTTTGCTATATATACACCAAAACAGTTGTGGTAGGGAAAAAAGTGTGGATGAAAACCGCTTACACCTGAAGTAAGTGGATAGTTAATACATTGCTAAACACAAATACGCCACAACACTTACTTTTCCCACAGAAATGTCACTTTAACAATGCTCTTACTACTACAAGGGATTCTGGGTAGGCATATGCAAATGAGCTCTACAAAGAACCACTTTTTTGCCTTATAATTCCACTTTATACATAGATTCTTTGGAGTAGGTGTCTCCCTAGAATATCGGTCTACAAGATATTGCTTTCTCCTGGTGATCCTCCTACCTCTCCCAGCTCTCTTTCAGTGTTTCTTTCTCTGGCTCTGCTTCTTCTCCTCAACTCCTTTCTGTTGTTGTCCCCCAAGGTTCAGTCCTTGGTCCCCTACTGTTCTCCATCTATACTGCCTCCCTTGTTAAACTCATTAGCTCTTTTGGCTTCCAATATCATTTCTATGCGGATGACATGCAAATCTATCTGTCCTCTCCTGATCTCTCCCCATCCCTCTTGACTAGTGTCTCTGACTGTCTCTCTGCTATTTCTAACTGGATGGCTGCCCACTTCCTTAAACTCAACTTGACCAAAACTGAAATTCTGGTCTTTCCTCCCTCAAGTGTTGCTACTCCTGAGTCTGTCTTCCTCCTAGTCAACGGTGCTACCATCAGTTCCACCATGCAGGCTAGCAGCCTAGGTGTTCTCTTTGACTCCGACCTCTCCTTCACGCCTCATGTTCAGTCTTTGTGGGGAAAACTGATCTCCCTCTTACTGAATGGATCAGAAACCACAGGTCAAGCATCCGAACGGCTTACAGAGACAACAAGTTGGATCTACCAGTGGAAAAGCATTTTTTAGAGCATGTACACACTTTACCATCTCTTAAAATAATGGCAATCGATCACATACCACCATTGAGGACAGGTGGAGATCATAAAAAACTATTACTACAACGGGAGATATACTGGATCAGGACTTTAGACACCACACCTCCAAGGGGATTGAATGAAAAATATTCCCTATCTATCTTTCTATAGACTATCCCTTGGTGGCACGATAGGAAGAAATGAGCACACCCGGGGGGACAGGCTCTCACACCCGGGGGGATAGGATCTTGCAACGTCTGGGTAACAACTGATGTGTTAACCCACGCATACATAATTTATTAGGGTAAACATGCAACCCAGAACCCACCCAGGGGGTGAGGTAAAGGATAACATGCCTATTGTCTGTTTTCTGATTTATTTTGGGGTGGGGGGTTATCTTACCAATAACTGCTGATTACTTGCATCGTAAATATTGTAAATAATCTAAGTATATGTTGGGGTATTTGGTATGTGTTACTCATATAGAGAACTATATTCTATGTTGTAAACGTATAATATGTTTCAACACATTTTAAGCATTGATATGAATGTTTAGGAAGTACACAGGTGGTACCCTGAGTGGTTTCTGCTGTCAGATGGGGTGAGTTTATGATTTACTGTATGTTATAAAATGATTGTATGCATCTATGTTTTGCTTATCATGATGAAAGTTTGCTGAGACAGACTGAAACATAGATTTTTTATTTTTGAGCAAATAAAAGTTATATTTTATTTCAAATGAAGACCTGGGAGTGCAATCCTATTACTATTTCTAGGTTACGCTGACAAGCACTGAGCAAGAATTTTTTGCACCTGGCAATCATATTTTTTAATCTTTATGTATATTGAGATTTTAGTTGTGTATTTTCAAATAAACTGTACGTTTAACTGTGGTTTTCTTTCCTACTGCATTTATTTGGTCTGAGTAACTTTTATACCAATATACTGCAAGACTGGTAATTGTTTGTATGCCTGGTGTCTAGTGCCCTCTAGTGGGATTGTAAGATAATTCTTTAAGTCCCTCTTCCAATCAGGATTTGTCCAGACACTTTGACTGTAGCCATTGATGGAGACCGACAAGCAGTGATACAGTGTGTTTTACCCCTACTGTGCCATCTTGGGAGATACCCTGAGCCATTGCCTTTTAGTGTGTGATTTTAGAACATTCATATTAGACATTGTAACACATATAACATAGTAAAGACTGACGGTTGAAAATATAGTGAGAATTCAATCCTTTGCCAAGTGTGATCCAAATATATACAAAAAAGGAAAAAGGAAAAAAATACAAAATTTTATATCTCAATAATAAAAATAAAAATATATCTATAAAAAAAATAAAAAATAAAAATTACATAGATCATCTTGACAAAAAATGGAAATCCCCCTCAGAAAAAATACATCTATATATAAATAGTTTTTTCCTTTTCTCTCTTCTTCCTTCTCTCTCCTTTCCTTTCTCTTATTTTTCTACCATAAAACTGCCCAAATCAACATCTATATTTAATCCCTTTGGTTCTAAAGTATCCAATTTATAAATCCAATAGGTTTCACGTTGTGCTAGTTTTAATTTCCTATTACCTCCTCTCCAATGGGAGGATACATGTTCTATACCACAACCTTTAAAGTCACTCCAATTGAAGGCCGGACATGTATTACAGTGCACTGGCACTGAATGGGTTGTGATGCCCTTCCTTATATTATTAATATGCTCCATAAGACGTACTTTTAAAAATCTTTTTGTCTTTCCCACATATTGTTTGCCACACGGACACTGCAATAAATAAATTACAAAGTCCGTGTGGCATCCAATATTAGATTTCACCGTGAAGGCCACTCCAGTGGTATGACTTGTAAACTGGAGAACTGAACCTAAGTTCATCCTTGAGCAAGCACGACACATTTGACATCCTTTAAACCCTTTAACAGTATTATGTGTAATAGCCTTCTTTTTGGGGATATCTTTTCTAGGATAACTCGGAGCCACCAAATCTTTCAAATTCTGGCCTTTCTTATAAATGATAGATGGTCAATGGGGTAAAATACTTCCAAGAACTGGATCTTGGAGTAATATGGGCCAGTGTTTTTTAAGACACCTTTTAATTTTCCAATGGTCACTATTATATTTCGTTATAAATGAATATTTAAATTGTTCATTTGGTTCACTTTTTAGATTTTTAGTTAAAAATTCCCTTCTATCTCTTTTCTTAAGTATTCTGATTTCCTTTTCAATCCTGTTCTTAATATAGCCTTTATTTACCAATTTATTTTTTATATATTTTGCCTGAATTTCAAAATCTTGGATATTAGAACAATTTCTACGAACTGTTGTTATTTGGCGTTTGGCAATGCCCCTCAGCCACGGTTGATGATGACAACTTGTCTGATGGACATAGCTGTTACCATCAGTTTTTAAAAAAAAACATCTGGATCTGATCTTATCCTCTTCCCAAAACAAATTCAGACCTAAAAAATTAATGGTGTCTTTATGCCATTCTGGTGTAAATTTTAAATTAAAAGGATTAGAATTTAAATATTGTACAAATGACAAAAAGGCCTCCTGGGTGCCTTTCCAGATGACTATCACATCGTCAATAAATCTCCGCCATAGGACCAGGCTCGCTCCCCAGTCATGCCCGCACCACACAAAAAGGTCCTCCCACCTACGCATGTAAATGTTGGCATAACTGGGGGCGAACCTGGTTCCCATGGCGCTCCCCGTTAACTGGAGGTAAAATTACCCTCATGAAAAAAGTAATTATGCTCAAGTATAAATTTAATTGCCACTAGAATGGAATTTTGGAGAGAATCGTCAACTTCTGGGTCTTGGTTGACAAAAAAACTAACTGCTTCAATGCCCAATTTATGATGAATAACAGTATACAATGATGTTACATCTAATGTTTCCCAGCTGTATTCATCTTTCCATTTAATATTTTCAAACTCTTGTAAAATAGCTGTAGTATCCTTAATATATGAAGGGGCACTTTGAGCATACTTTTGAAGTCTTGCATCAATAAAAGCTGAAGGTTAATATAATATACAGGCCCAGCATACTGAATTATGAAAACCTACACCTTTGACACAGTGACTTGTAACACAGATGGCTTAATTTCATTCCTTTATTTAATTAAATAAGCAGAGTCAAGAATATACAGTACAATTAAATAGAGTTTCAGTTTATATTTTGTATCTATTTTAATTGGCATTAAATCATTGTTTTACATGAAGACAGTGAAGAGCACAAGACAGCAAACTGTGTAGTTCCTCAGAAGTCCAAATAGAGGTTTAAGTTTCAGCTTAAATTCTCAATTTACTGAATAACAGTTTCTCAACTGAAGTCTGCAAGATAATTGTGAAACCATTACTCTGCTAAGAAAATTGAGTCCTACGTGTTGACCTGAACTACAACCACAAGACATGTCATAACAGCTCTCCTATATATTTGCCTTAATTTGCACAGTTCCTCTCACATTCAACCATTTATAATCCGTTCAAATTCATTTTTATTGAATTTCTGGAATGGCCGTATTTAATGATCTGTTAATGGATGCACTTTTATATATTATTATATCAATGTTTACCTCTTCATTGACATGTTATGTTATAGACCCTTTCAATATATATATATATTTATTTTTATTTGTTTTTTTAAGAAAGCAATCGGGGCAATTTATTGAAAAAGAGACAGAAGGAAAAGCAAATAGAGGAATTCATCATACATGTTTGCTAGTGAAATTTAATCTAAGCTTTAGTTGAAATAATGTAGTTTGTTTCATTTTTTGCAGCCTTAACTAGAAACTCACCCACGTTGCCCTGGGCCCCACCCATAAGTCTCCCACCCCTCCTGCCCCTTCATGTCTCACATTCACGCCCCGGAGGGTGAGTGTGGCATGGTTGAGGGGGAATAGTATGACAGAATTGGAGGGGTTAATGTGATAGGATGAGTGTGGCAGGGAGAACGTGGGTGAGTGTGACAGAGTGAAGGAGAATAAGTGCAACAGGATTGGGGGAGTGAGTGTGACAGTGCTAGGGTGAGTATGGCAGAGCGATGGGAGGGCATTATGGCATGGGGGAGTAACGTGATCTAGAGAATTATTGTTAGTGTGGCATGGTAAAGGGGAATGACAGTGTGTGTGGAGGGTTGACAGTTACACAGACACACAAGTGAATACACTGACACACATGCAGACACACACCATATAACACATACAGATACATACATGGACACATGCTGATACACAGACATACATGCAGATAGACGCACACATACACACACTGACACACATGCAAATATATAGACACACAAACTAACACAAATACAAATACACAGACACATATAAACACACAGACACACTGAATGACACAAATTCAGATACACAGAAATACACTCCTATAGATACAAACACTGACACACATGCTGATACACAGACACACATGCAGACACATACACATAGACACACATGCAGATACAGAAACACTTAATGACAACCATTCATATACACAGAACGACACTCATACAGATACAAACAGTGACACACATACAGATACATAGGGACACAAACTTACATATAAACAGACATACAGATGCACATACTGATACATGCAGACAAACAGATACACATACAGACACACATAAAGACACCGATACACAAACACACACACATAGAAAAAGTAAAATGTTTTAGTCACCCTCCTGTTTCCTACCTTTTAGGGGCAGACAGGAGTCAGAGTTCCCACTCTGGCTCCCTCCTTTGATTCACCTCTCTTGCAGTGCTCTATATTAGCTGGAAGCAAGTGACCGGCTGTTACTTACTCCCAAGCTGACATCATCACAGGGGGCCCAGTCGTGCTGTTAATGTGCCGCTGTGCTGACCTGGCCCCTGAAAATATATTGCATTGTTTGGCCCTAAGGGGCCACTCAATGGGCCCCTGAATGCGCAACCCTGGCAGTTGCCTCGCTGGGTTGGGGTTGCACCACATGGTGGGCAGGCACCCTGGTCACAGGGATCCACGGTAGGGAGGGCCCTACTGAAGTGATGGGACAGGTACCCCATTTAGAGTAGCCCTACATGAGAAACACAAGACAGAGGTTAATTTAATGCTCAAATGCTAATTTATTTATGTATATCAATCTTCAGCTAGGATAGATCTGGAAGATTTATTCTATCGATACAAGGTAGTCAGAAACCATGTTAATGTGAGAAAGTGTTAAAGGTCAGCTTGATAAAAGGCCAAACTACATTGACAGGCAACATGGGTGGGTCACACGATGCTAGGGAGCCGATGCATATGCCTGGCAATTCTCTCCAGCAAGATGTGGCAAGCATTGAACTTCAACTTTATAAGTAAGACTTCCGTGGTTTAAATAACATATTTCAGTTTTCTCTCCACTGGTTAGGGGTCTGTTACATTTGCCAAGGAGGTCATCATCATACTTGTTATCTTCATCCCAAACCTCTATCTCTAATCTATTAATGGGATTGAGCTCCACAATGCCTAAGTCATATCTCATATTCCACCGTGGATTATCATTGTTCCATATGGTTTGAGTGGTTTCTTGTTTGGTATTGTAACTTATTTTCACATATGCATCCGTTCTACTTATATAGTCACCCCAAAGACCTTCAGCATTTTTGACAGTCAAGACGAGCTTGGCAAGTCCTTTTCTAGTTGGGCAGCAGTTAGCACTAATAGCATTACTGCTGGGACAAAAACAGGTGCACTTGGCGCCTACACTTGACTGAGAGCCTCCTGAACAAGAACAATTCTTCCTAAGAGCATTCTCCAAGATGAACTCACTGATGGCTTTCTTCAGGTTCTCCTTTACTGGACCTTCAAAACGTACAAGATTATGCAGTGGCTCTAATGAGTAGGTAACAATATCAGGGTCTGTTTTAAGGCTCTCCATCCAGGCATCAAATGTAGCTGCTCCATTGTCGTTCTTAACATCAGTAGAAAGAAGGTCAAAGGTCACCTTTCCACCTGTTACCTGAGAAATATATGTGTATTTCATTATAGAATTCTATCATAATTGTCTTTGGATCTCGTTTACAAACACAGATGTAAATGCTATAATGGGATTCAAACATGTAGAGACTGTTATTTGTAGAATTTTTTTTTACTTTTTAAGCTATTTTTCAAATTTCTTTGTTGAGCTACAGATACTCATTATGTTAAGAAAGACAATTTAAATTCAACTATTTTATTGAAAAGAAATATCATGTCAGCTTATTGGCTTCTGAAAAGTGCTGAATAGCTGAAACAGTTCTGCCATAAATTCATCTAATTTATTTTATTTTGTAGCTTATTGAACAGTAGCCACGTGCCATATAATTATACAGAATTCACAGAGGAATGCTAGTGCATACTTAACACTATAATAATATAAACCCACCCAGTATAACTTACTGTAACCTAACCTACACAGTGCATCTAGCGTGTGTGGGAGCCTGGAGTGTCCCTTTAATAATATAAACCCACCCAGTATAACTGTAACCTAACCTACACAGTGTGTGGGAGCCTGGAGTGACCCTTTAATAATATAAACCCACCCAGTATAACTAACTGTAACCTAACCTACAAAGTGCATCTAACGTGTGTGGGAGCCTGGAGTGTCCCTTTAATAATATAAACCCACCCAGTATAACTAACCGGAACCTAACCTACACAGTGCATCTAATGTGTGTGGGAGCCTGGAGTGTGCCTTTAATAATATAAACCCACCCAGTATAACTAACTGTAACCTAACCTACACAGTGCATCTAACGTGTGTGGGAGCCTGGAGTGTCCCTTTAATAATATAAACCCACCCAGTATAACTAACTGTAACCTAACCTACACAGTGCATCTAACGTGTGTGGGAGCCTGGAGTGTCCCTTTAATAATATAAACCCACCCAGTATAACTAACTGTAACCTAACCTACACAGTGCATCTAACGTGTGTGGGAGCCTGGAGTGTCCCTTTAATAATATAAACCCACCCAGTATAACTAACTGTAACCTAACCTACACAGTGCATCTAATGTGTGTGAGAGCCTGGCATGTCTCTTTAATAATATTAAGCCACCCAGTATAACTAACTGTAACCTAACCTACACAGTGCATCTAATGTGTGTGAGAGCCTGGCATGTCTCTTTAATAATATTAAGCCACCCAGTATAACTAACTGTAACCTAACCTACACAGTGCATCTAATGTGTGTGAGAGCCTGGCATGTCTCTTTAATAATATTAAGCCACCCAGTATAACTAACTGTAACCTAACCTACACAGTGCATCTAATGTGTGTGAGAGCCTGGCATGTCTCTTTAATAATATTAAGCCACCCAGTATAACTAACTGTAACCTAACCTACACAGTGCATCTAATGTGTGTGAGAGCCTGGCATGTCTCTTTAATAATATTAAGCCACCCAGTATAACTAACTGTAACCTAACCTACACAGTGCATCTAACGTGTGTGGGAGCCTGGAGTGTCCCTTCGAGGTACTTATACCAATATTGCTTTCTGAAAAAACAACCGATGGACCAATTTGCTATTTTTCTATTTAGTAGGATGTTGAGGCACACATCGTAACTTTTCTCTGTCCCGTGTTAGATTTTAATACCTCACTGTTATACAGTGATCCATGCCTCATTAATTAAAAATAAAAAAAGGGGTGTGGCAATTATATTTAGTAAAGATATTAATGTAGATATTCTACATACTGAACTCGATCCAGAAGCGAGGTTTATTATTTTGGTTTGTAAGATCGAAGACAAAATTTATACATTGGTCAACGTGTATCTACCTAATGTTGATCCAATGACTAAATTTTCTTTGATAATGGATAAAGTTGACAAAATTAATAAGGGATATTTGATTATCGCTGGTGATTTTAATTGTGTTGGTGATCCACTTTTGGATAGAACTACTGTATCTCCCTTATGTAATAATAATACAGGACCTACTAAGCAAGCCAAAAGATTAAATAATATATGTAGGCAATATAATTTATATGATATTTGGAGACTACTTCACCCCCTTAAAAAAGATTTTTCCCATTTATCCGGTGTTTATGGAACTTATTCCCGGATTGATTTCTGCTTAACAAATGCTATTACAATTCCGCTCTTTAATTATATTGATCTTAAGGAAAACACATGGTCAGACCATAGTTTTGTTTTATTTGCTCTTGGTAATTCTCCTCCTCTTTCTCGTAACACTTGGAGATTGAATGATGCCATTTTAAAGGACTCTAACAATAGGGAGGATTTAACCAAATTATTAGAATATTTTTGGGCAGAAAATAATCCGCGAGACACTTCCCCTTTAATAAATTGGTGTTCTCATAAATCCGTAATGAGGGGCTATATAATTAAAATAGACCATCTCCTTAAGAAAAATAATGGCACAAAATTTCCTGATTCATATATTGAATTCTATTCATGTTCTAAAATGACTAAACTACAATCTTCCCCTGAGCTGAGAACTCATTTAAAAGACTTACAAACTCAAATTAATTTAAAAGAAGAGGAAAAAATCAAGTTAAATATAAATAAACTAAAATTAAATCACTATATTTCGGGTAACAGAGCGAGTAAAAGTCTAACTAGGAGGCTACGTAATCAATATGCTAAAAATAGAGTAGAAAAATTGGTGGTTGATCAAATTGTATACTCCACTCCATCGGAGATTGGACAAAAGTTTTATCAGTTTTATCAAGATCCGTACAATCTAAGGTTGTCCCCAGAATTAAAGGACATCAAGAGTTATCTATTAAGTTCCCGAATCCCGAGAATTTCTTCCCAGGATTTGACCATTCTGAATAAAAAAAATTCTCTTGAAGAAGTGCAATTCCAAATTGACAGACTAGATATAAACAAAACTCCCGGTCCTGATGGCTTTTCAAACCTTTATTATAAATATATGAAATCTTATCTTTTAAAACCCCTTACTGAAATGTTCAATCAAGCAGCAGAAAGTGAGATCATACCAAAGGAGTTATTACAATCAAATATTGTCCCTATCCTAAAACCGGGTAAAGATAGTACGGACCCAAGAAACTATAGACCGATTGCATTAATTAATGTTGATATGAAAATATATTCAGCTATTATTGCCGAGAGACTGAAAATGGTAATTACTAAACTTATTCATCCTGACCAAATAGGGTTCATCCCAGGAAGATGGGCATCAAATAATACCCGAAAGCTTATAGATATCATTGGTCTTGTTAAAGTCAACAAAGAGCCCCTCCTGGCCCTGTCTTTGGACGCAGAAAAAGCGTTCGACAGGGTTGGGTGGGGCTATTTAAGCGAACTTCTTAAGGCATACGGCTTTAGGGGTTGGATATATACCGCAATTATGGTATTATATTCTGATCCCTCGGCCAGAACTGTAGGTCCCAATATTACTTCGACGTGGTTCGATCTTAAAAACGGAACAAGACAGGGATGTCCTTTGTCACCGCTTCTTTACATCTTATCTCTTGAACCTCTTGCTGTAAATATTAGGAATAATCAGTTAATAAAGGGGGTTTCTACGAAATTTCAAGATATTAAGATTGCATTATACGCTGATGATGCTTTGGTAACTCTTACATCTCCAGAAGATTCATTGGCATCATTAATGGAAGAAATTGTTAATTTTTCTAATATCTCTAATTTTAAGTTAAATGTTTCAAAATCTACTGCTTTAACTATTAATTTACCTTTGACTCAGGTTGAAAGGCTATCTCAAAAATATCAGTTTATTTGGACAGACTTAGAAATCAATTATTTGGGTCTTAGTTTCCCTGCTAACGCCTCCCAAATAATGGAGAGGAACGTTATGCAGCTAATGAAGGAAATGAATCAAAATCTAAAAAAATTGAAAAATCTAGAAACATTATGGATAGGCAGAATTAACATTATTAACTCTTATATTTTACCAAAATGGTCGTATTTGTTCTCAATGGTTCCCCTTAAAATCCCTAAGGTGTGGCTCCTTATGATACAATCTGCCATAAATAAATTTATCTGGAAAAATAAAAAGCCTAGAATAAGTCAAAAATATATTTCTTACAAATTGTCCCAGGGAGGGCTAAACTATCCAAGTATTATTAATCTTTACTATGCTAATATTATACGACATATATATATTTTACAAGAACCATTTTTTTTTCTGAACCTTGGTATAATTTGGAGTCTGAAGCGCTACATGTATCTACTCTTTATTCTTATATATGGTCAGATCCTGGGAAGTTCCTAAGGGATTTACCGAATGCTTTAATATCGTTGGCTCATTCTTTGGAAACATGGGTTGAAATCAGAAAAATTTTGGGCGTAAGTTACTTAATTCCCAGAACATGTAAATTAAATATATTAGAAAATAATGTAGAGGATTTATCATTGAGACACTGGCCTAACAAAGATATATTAACCTTATCGGATATTATGCAGGGCGATGATATCTTACCATTTCAACAGATTGTGGATAATTTCCATATTCCATCTAAAGAATTATTTACATATTTTCGTATTAAACACTATATCCAGAAACATGTTATTCAATCTTTTTTTCCTCGGCTTAAAGAGTTGCAAATTCTTTTTTCATTTCAAACTGTACCCAAGGTTGTTTCGGTAGCCAATATGCTTTTTAAAGGCTTAGATACCTTTCCCTATAAACTGGTTAAATCTTGGGAAAAGGATCTCAATTTAGTCATTTCCCCAAAGGAATGGTTTTCTTCTATAATTTTAGTAAATAAATTTGTCCATGGTCTAAATTTGACTGAGTGTCACTTTAAGTTACTCCATAGATGGTACTACACTCCGACAAGATTGGCCAAAATGTATTCTTCTCAAGATTCTACCTGTTGGAGATGTGGTACCTATTTGGGTACATATATCCACATATGGTGGTTCTGCCCAGTAGTAAAACAACTATGGGCTTGGACCTATAATATCTTTTTTGAAATATCTCTGAATGAGGTATAATTTAAAGGCATAAACAAAAACCCAGTATCGGCCCTCCTTCATCTGAATTTGCCTTTTAAATCAAGTAAACATATTTGTTTAGCTATTCACTGCTTCATTGCAGCTAAAATCATTATACCTAGACAATGGAAATCTTCTGTTCCTTTTCAGAAAATTTCCCTAATTAATCAAATTAAATTCCAATTGACAATGGAAAACGATATGGTTAAAAATTGGTCAGTGTTCTCAAAAAAAAGTGACTGGTATTCTACTTGGCTAAAAAACTGTTCTCTATTTTATGACAAATTATAAATTTCTTAGGTGATGTGTTTATGAAAGATATAATCTTACTTGGGAAGTGGAATTTATCTTATTGTTAACATGTTTTTAAAATTTGTACTTATTTTCTACTGTAATATGTATCTAAACTTGTGCCTATTTCTACTGATATACCTCTTATCATTTTCGATAGACTAAATTTTATATTTACGACTTCCTGTTTTTTGTTTTTTTTTTCTTCTCGATCAATCGATTTATTGATACATCCCAATGAAAGGATTCTCTTTTTATAAAAAGATTTATTAATATTGGTCGGATTTAATTTTGTGTGAATGTATGTATGTATTTTTTGAACTGTTTTGTAATTCTAAAACAAAATTTTCCAATAAAAAGTAATTGAAAAAAAAAAAATTATTGTTACACATTAGTTATGAGCAATTTGTGAAATTCCCATCTTGCTATTTTCAAATGGGCGAAACCGCAACTGAACACATTTTCTATAATAAATAAATAAATAAATTAAATAAATAAAATTAAATAAAATAAAAATTCCCTCCAAATGATAATAAATAACAATTTAGGTGTTTTTTTGCAGTATTTTAATGCTATCTAATACCATGACTAGTTTCATTGGGGAAAATGTACCTATTCCTCCAGCTATGTATTCTGCGTGTGCTCCCCATCCCCACGCGTGGGTAAGAAGGTAGCGATGCCTTTTATTGATTCAAGCAATATAAATATTAATTACACAATAACATCAGATAAATGATCCAGCTGCCATTTCTCCACAGTGTTATAGAAAAATATCTCTCAACAGTGTTACGCTATACAAAATACATGAATGATATATTAAGCTTATTTAACCTTTTATCTACCAGAGTGAAGACTAAACGACAAGATTAGAAAATTGACAAATATGTAAACACACAAACAATGTACATATTAGTAAGGTGTCCGAGTTTAAAGCATTATACTGCATAATTATCTGTTGTATTATTATTATTATTATTATTATTATTATTATTATTAAAAAAAATAAAACTATGAAAAAAAAAAAAAATACCTCACCTGCCAAACTCTCTCATTAAAGGTTTGGTGGAAATTTTTGCTTTGAGTCGTTTTCTCACTCAGTTCTTTGCAAGCAGTGGCCTTGGCATTTGCTTCCATCTTCCCAGTAACTGCAGCAGAGGACTCAAGGTTCAGACAGTCCTTTAATTCATCCACTGAAGTTCCATCTAAAGCGGTCTGGCAGGTCTTGATTGCTGTGACCTCTATTGTCTCTCCTCCTACGTCTGCCTGGCTAATATAATGGGTGCCATAGGTTTGAACAAATTGACGGTACTCTGGTTTAGTCTTTGTGCTGTAGGATTCTGGCAGGGACATTAGAGACTCCTTAAAATGTTGACTCAATAAAGGTTTTGGTTGCACTCGGAAACTACGGATGATGAGAATAAAAAAATAAGAAAAACTAAGAAAGCATATTAATTAAATCCTTTGTGTGAATAACCTACTACACATAAAGAACAGCTTATTGATCAAACCTAACGAAGAATCTTATCAAAGTATAGTTAAATACATGTTAAATGTTTAATTCTAATAAAATGTAAAGAAAAAATTCTATGGAAAATATTTGAATTGTCATTTTTAAGGTTTTAAGCACAATTAATCACAGTTTCTATATGACCATATAGTTTTTGATTAAATATTGCTATTAATATAATGTTTTTATGTTTTATTTAAATTTTTTATAAACTATTTTCCATTCATCATGTCACCACATGCTCTTTCTATGGACTATGGTACAAGGACGTCCTAAATATATTAGTTATCACTAAGCTGTCTTCCAGTTCCAGCTGGGAATTCATTTATATTTTTGCATTAATTAATCTACTGTCAGTTCTAAACTATACATTGCTTAAATCTCTAAAGCACCAGATTCATGGGATATTTTACTCTCTTCCATTGGGAAAAATGGGAGTGCACAGATTGGCTGACTGCTTTTGAGTTACTTCCTGGTCTGTGCAAAGCTGCTAATCCTAGACATGGACAGCATATGTGGGAACTTCAAAGTTTAGCTGTATCTTCTTAAAATGTATTGTTATATTGCAAATTTTAATGTATTATCTGTACAAGGCATATAAAGAAAGTATTCAGCCTCCCACTGAGTTTCAGGCCAAGTTGGCGCGAGCTCTGCAAAAGTGAAGAAATTGATGTCTGACATAAAATTAGTAGTCTATTCAGATTTAGCTCTGATTGACATTGTAACCCATTGTAACACTATCAGATTCACGTACTAAAGTAGTAATTGTGAAGAATTGACGAGAGAAATGCAAACTTTAAACCAAAGTGAAACAATAGGCAAATTGAAACGTGTTTCACCCTAATTGCTTTGATGTAGAGCTTTAAATTCTGGGGTTATGAAAAAAATCTAAGCTTTGTGGGATAAGTATTGCTACAAGTGCCAGGAATACAAAGCATGGGTTTGAAGTAAAATAAATCACAATAAACTAAAAGGATGGATTATATTTTGATAATACTCTTAAAAGTTAAGAAAAACAAATTGTAGCTCTCCTACTGACCTGGCTATCAGTACCAGAATAATGTCTGTCTCTTATAAATGAATCTAGATATTGCATCAAATTTCTAGTCCAATTTTACACTCAGAGGTGTACCTAAATTAGGTGGTACCCATGTTGGAAATGTATTTTGATCCCCCTGGACTACAATGGGGTTGACCCCAGGTTACACTTTGAGCCACATCCAGACACATGCTTCCTTCAAACAGAGTGCGGCTCCATAAGGGAACTGCACACACAGTAAACTAGCACGGGACCCCCCCATCCCACTGCCCTCTGCGTAGGACAGATATCCCCCATGTTGCTACCCTCTTCCATCCATTAATCCCCCCTCCCCTGCCATGACACATAAAACAGCAGGGAGGGGAGCCATCAGTGTGTGAGCCAGCAAAACCAGAACTACCTTTGCCTAGTGAGGGAACAGGCTGACTGCTGCTTGGAAAGGGGGGTGAGTGGGGGGTAATGGATGGAAGGGAGTAGCAACATGGAGGGATACGAAACCTGGAATGAAGGGGGGAGAGACTAAGAAATGTGGAAGGGGGAGGGGAAGAGACATGGATGGATATTTGGAAGGAAGACAGAGAGACATGGATGGATGGGGTAAAAAGAGACATGGAAGGAGGGAGGGGAAGACACATGGAAGAAAAGGGAAGAAAAAACATGAAAGGGAGGGTAGAAAAGACATGGATGGAAGGGAAGGGAGACTGAGAGACATGGATGGATGGGGGAAGGGAGACATGGAAGGAGGGATGGGAAGAGACATGGAAGAAGGCTGAAGAAAAGGCATAAAAGGAAGGGTAGAAGAGACATGGATGTAAGGGAAGGAGAAGAGACATGTATTGATGAGGGATAAGAGCGAGCTGAAAGGACAGTGTGGCTACATCTAAGGTGTGGCTCATTACCTACCTGGCTGAGACTGCAATTTGCTGAGGGAGTGAGCGGAGTGGACACTCGAGACAGTGGCATTACTACTGAGACCGTAAGTAACTTTAAGAGAAGCTCTGAGTAAATGGTATGTATGAACTTAGGAATACATATTATGCTTTGAGTAAATGATATGTACATATGTGTGTGTGTGTGAATATAGACACACACACACACACACACACACACATATATATATATATATATATATATATACACAAATACACTGTGTTTATGGATGGGTCACAGTGTGTGTGTGGGGGGGTCACTGTGTGTGGGTCACTGTGTGCAAGTATGGGTCACTGTGTCTATGTATGGGTCACTGTGTGTAGGTGTCTGGGTTACCGTATGTATATATGGGTCACAGTGTGTAAATATAGGTTACTGTGTGGGGGGGTCACTGTGTGTGTGGGTCACTGTGTGTGTGAGGGGGTTACTGTGTCTGTGTGGGTCACTCTGTACTGGTCACTGTGTATATGTTTGGGTAATTGTGTGTGGGTTGGTCACTGTGTGTTTACAGGTCACCGTGTGTGTACAAGTCACTGGGTGTTTATGGGTTACTGCGTGTGTGTGGGTCATGGTGTGTATGTGTGTGTGCATCAAAGCGTGTGTGTGTGGTCACTATGTGTATGGGTCAATGTGCATGTGTGGGTCATTGTGTGTGGGTCACTTAGTGTGTGTACAGGTCACTGAGTGTATGTATGAGTCATTGTGTGTGTGTGTATCTGTCAGTATGTATGTTAGTTTGTATGTATATTTATGATAGTATATTTGTGTATCTGTGTGTAGCAGTGTATGTGTATATATGTCCATACATCTTAGTATTCAAACACCAACACAATACACACATAAACCCTACATTCAAATGTCAACACTACACAAAAATGCATAACTGCATGCAAAACAACCACTACATTCAAATGTCAAAAATACATACAAATACACTACTACATTTAAAAACACGCATACTCCATGCAAAAACACGCATACTCCATGCAAAAACATGCTAATATTCAAGCACACATTCAAGCACACAAATTCAACAAATACAAAAGGATAGGTGAATGCTAGATTTAATTAAGGGTCTACCTTTTAGCCTGCCATTCTTGAGCTAAAGGGGACTCAAAACATTTTGCACCAGGGCCCTCTCTACAATTGCTCTGTCACTAAACAGTTCCCAACTGGTCCCTAGGCACTTACAAATGTGACAGAGCTGGTAAGAGGAGGGTGCCTTGTGCTGACTGTCTCACAGGGTGGATCTCCCCCTGATCACCAGGTCTCTGCTGGCTACATTATATTTATTGGCCCTTTGAGAGCAGTTCCGGGAAGACTTCTGAACCAGAAAGTAACTGGTAAGATTTACTAGTAGGAAAACAGCTGCTAGTAGGAAAACAGCAGATCACTGTAATAAAGATAAATGAAATAATAATAAGCTAATTTAACCATCCTATTTCAGAACACATTAATAAATATCCCCCCATTGATAGTTATATCAGATACAGCAACCACCGCTTTACGCAAAGCAGAGAATGCATGTTCGTCATGGATTCTGAAGACACACACAAAAGTAATTAGTCCATGTTTATGCTGTTGCCTTTTATAAAAATGTTATCTAACTTATTAATTTTCTCTGCAACATCAGGCTACAGAACCCAACAATTAGAATATAGACATAGTTTTGAATATATACGTCTACGTCTTTATAACCAATTCTATAATAAATTCCCAATACTCCTGGGCAGCAGCAATGGTTACCGTACGTATCAGCCCAGGTCCATAGAACAGAAACCAAAAAGAGGTGCCTGCGGACTATCCCTTTGCACATTTAAATAACGGAGGGTTTTAGTATCACTCCAATGGCCATTTAAGTGTAAGTTAACCTGCCACGTCAAGACAAACCTCTTAGGTGAGTCCTACTTTAGTGAGACAGAGGGGGTAAGTTAACCTGCCACGTCTTAGGTGAGTCCTATTCTAGTGAGACAGAGGGGGTAATTTTCTAACTCCCTACACACTTATTAACCCTTACTAGGGAACACATGGGGTGAGCAGCAGCATTGTAATATGGCAAAAAAAAGCAAATACAACACTCACTAGAGTTATGCTGGGGAGTTATTTATTTTAATATCTCTCAGCAAATTCTTCGTAATATTTAGAAGAGAATTTTCGAGTTTCACAGTAATTATTATTTCACTTCCCATATGTAAAACCTTCCTTATAATTTAGTTAGCATTAGGAATACAAGCATGCACACCTAATGCTATAGTGTCCTGCTAACCAGGCCCAGGTTAAGGGCTTCGTGGACCTGTTGCAGAGGATTTTGACCCATGAAAACACACTTAGTGAACCATGCATGACATACTCACTAACTCTCAGTGACTTATACACACACACACACACACACACAGAGACAAACACTCAGTGACCCCCACACACACTTGTAATCAGTGACCGATACACACACACACACTCAGTGACCCATACACTCAAACATACTCACAATCAGAGACCAAAAGACAAAAACAGAGTGACTAATATACTCACACTCAGTGACCCATACACATACACCCAAACCTTGACTCATATACACTCAATGATCCATACACTTACACTCAGTGACTCATACACACACTCAGTGACTCATACACACACACACACACACACACAGTGACCCATGCAGACACAAACTCACTAACTCACAGTGATCCACACACAAACACACACACATAGAACTATACAGATCCATTAACCCTCTTGCCTTCAGTGCAGTATTATTTAAATCCAGCTACCTAATAGCATAGTAACCAGCACTTGCTCAGCCAGTCCCCTTCTCTCTCTCCAGCAGCAGACAGTATGATTGTATATTGTGAGAAGCAGACTGACCTGTTGCCTCAGCAGTCACAGTGTTTAGTTCAGGAGCTCCATCCCCCCTCCTATGGGGCTTCTAGAGGGCGCTTGGAGGAAGTGATATAGTAGCATTGTCCCAGAGGAGTGTGGGGGTGGAAAGCAAGGCCAATGAGGGGAAGTGCAAAAAGGAAAAAAATAAAGAATAATTGAGGGCCTATTTTGAGGTATGGGCATGGAGCAAGATCTGTTGATACCTATATAGGTGTCCAGCCCCTCATTTTGCAATAAAAAAAAAAAAAAGACTTTGATGATGACTCATTGATGATCCGATCTCGTAAATCCAATATTTTCCTATAAGGAATCATTGGGAAGCTAGTGGGCATGTGGAGTAAATCACTGTTCAAATCAAATGCCTTTTAGGAGCAGAATTTGATTGAGAACCGAGTCTGACGTGATTCTCACAGGGGAAGCACCTATAATAGCACTAGATGTGTGTTTAACCATAAAATATAAGCATTGCCTTACATTGCAGGGTTAAAACTAATGAGCCACTTCAACCAAGCCACTTCATTGCCTTAAGTGATCCTTTAATTAACAAACCTGAGACTGGGAGTAGGAAGAAATGCAATGGCAGGATAATTGGCAGGATTGAGCAAGACCATTTTAAATACAATTATAACTTAATTCAAGAGGCACCTTGCCATAGCCATGTGAAGAGTTGTACATGGCATATAATCTCAATATTCACTGGCACAAGCCAACTCAGCATTCTTTGTAAATACCAACCATAATCAAATAACCATAGGAAAACCTTTTGTTGGACCATATACCTGTAATAGACACATCTGAGCTGTTGCTTGATAAAGCTATACCGATCAGAGCTGATTTTTCCTTCAGTGAATTTGTTAATTGCCGACTGAGATCCAGCTAACACCACTTTAGCATTGGCTGGTCCATGCTCGATTCCCAGGCCGGCCTCCCAATCATTCTTCACTGAGGACTCTAATTCTTCAGCCAATGAAACAGAGGATCGGGCGACCTCACTGGTCACCTTCCGTGTGCAGGAAGAGTATGGCATCCAGTCAGTCATAGCTACTGGCAACTTCTGCAAAGCCATTTTTTGGTAAGGGTTTTTACATACGGTGCATGTCTTATCTTTTGATTGGTAAGCTTGAAGATCTAAGACAGAAGCACTGGCCTTCTTCATTGTTGCAATGTCAAAACCTGCTCCCAGAAGGGTGTGTCCTGGAACAAAGGGAAGCTTCTTACATTTAGGTCCTTTTTCTGAGTGGCACGCATAGGTCAGGGGTGGGTGATCAGAAGAGAAGGAAGACGGAATGAAGAGAAATATAACAAAGATAGGCAACATGGCTTGATGAATTGGAAGACGATTTGAGGAGATGATTATAAAGAACTGGTTAGATAGGTAAACGGTGTGGGTGTTTTTCACGAGGCTTTGAATGGATTTGGAGTAGTTGGCCTGGAAAAAAAGAGAGTAAATTGATTGATAGACTGACAAAAAAGAGACAATGACGTCTATCTGAAGAATATCAACACAAACTTTGGAACAAGTGTTTAACATTCAACCAAACAGAATAAGAAAAAAAAAAATAATACTTTGATTCTCACCCTTATAACAGTTGGAACCAAATGTGTAAACAATAAACATTACGACTCTTGACAAAGGAGAGGAAACATCACAGCTATATATACTGACAAGTAATGTACAACATAATATAGAAGCCGCCACTCTGAAACAATCAGAAAGGAATCTCTCGATAAACAAAGAAAAGCGAGGTTTGTGTTTTACTATGTGCAAAACCTGCAACTAAACACTAATGTAAGCACACAGCACCAATATACGTTTATCAAATCAGACAATAAACATTAAATACAATGTCTTCTGACATTCCACCTGAAGGTAATAATTAAACAGAGCGTATTCACACAAAATAGAAAACACAAGCATTTTGAAATCTACTGTACCTGTCAACAAATTAAATATCTAAAGCATTCCGCACCTTTAATATAGGGGAAAGAAGTTCCTCCTGTCTCTGATGTCATCCAGCGATGCTCAGATTAACACAACACCAGTTCTCACAATATTCCTCCCTATATCACAGCTCTGGAAATTGGTTAGAGACTGGCTTGTCCGAACATCTTTACAAAAGCTTGCCTTTAATTTTGTGTCTGCTCAAGGAATGTTGTTGATTCCTATAAGTACACTGTTTTAATCAATTTGGCTCATCATAAAAAATATATAGGTTTTTTAATTTATTTCATTATTTATTTATTTCAATTAAATTTGCACTTCTGTTTCTATGAAGTTTAGATACAGTTGAAATCTGCCAAATCTCCAAAAATAAAAAATAAAAAATACTTAGTTCATCTATTCACAAACAGCTGGATTGCAAACAAATTCCTCTCATTCTGTTGTATCATTCTCCTGATACAGATCACAAGAATTGCATCCATAAGTCTAAAAGCTTTCCGAAAGTGCCCCAGTCACCCTTCAACCTATAATGATACCCCTACCCTAAATCTTTCTAAACGCTTCTCATACTATTCCTTCACATACATATTTAACTTATTCCTTCACAGATACCCACACATTCCTTTGCCTACACTAATGTTCATTCATTCACTCTCATCAATTTAAATTGCTGCATGCTTTATAATTAAAATTAATCTTTTGCTTTTTGCTTGACTAAAGTTCTCAAACCTGGTGATCCTTCCATCTATAGTGATTGCATGTATTTGGAGAGCATTTTTCTATTTTCAAATTAGGAATCTATTGGCTAGGCTACCCTAAAGGTGACAGTCTTATAAGTCTATCTTTGTGATAACATTTTAATAACTTGGTTTTGTCTGCAGCTTACTGCCTCAGGTGCCAGCTGTATATGTATCTAATTTTTATCCAATTTATATACATTCTTTCAATACCTTAATAGTGGCAGCTCTATACAATTATTTAGACTACTATTCCACTATGACATTTAATTTGTTTGCTCTGTTTAACACACAGTAATAAGTCTCTAGTCGTATTCTATTATAAGACAAATGTTTTTTCACCATATTTATTCTTCAATTTGTTTTGTCAATTTTGGAAATATTTGTAAGAGCCTGATTTATATGCTAGCAGCCCTATGGTTTTTTTTTCTACTGATTTTCCTTCTATAATATATTTGAGCTGATGTCAATCTAGACAGTTATTTCTCATAACTTTGTATGATAGGTTTATTCCGTTATCTAATTATATTTTATAATCACATACAATGATATACTGTAAGGTGCAAAGTGGTCATCCAGCTCTACAGAAATGAATTCAAAGTGCTCGCCAGTTACCTGATTTAATACACAGCACACAGTATTTACTAAATGCACTTTTCTTTTCAGTTTTTAGTTTATTTTCGCTTGTCTGTTTTTTTTTTTCATTAATGATGACTCAATAAAGCATTATTTCATTTAATTTTATTTTGGTTTTTGTTACCCCTCTGTTTTTGAATATTTGTACTTGAGGTTTTTTTTCCCCCTATGGGGGGTTTTCTCCATGTGTTTTGTCTAATTGGTTATTTCAACCTAATGTGCACTTCTGTTTGTATGACGTTTGTAAACTGATGAAATCTTCCAAATCTTCAAATAACTTAACTCATTTATCTGTTCACAAACAGATACATTCCAAGCGAATTCCTTTCATCCTGTTAAATCGTTTGCCTGATACAGATTACCCCCCTCCCCCTCCAAAATCATTTTAAAGTACCCCAGACTGCCTTTAACCCCTTAAGGACACATGACATGTGTGACATGTCATGATTCCCTTTTATTCCAGAAGTTTGGTCCTTAAGGGGGTTAAACCTATAACCATAGCCCAACCATAAATCCCTCTAAACGCTTCTCATACTGTTCCTTCAGCTACTCATAATATTCCTTCACATACATATTTAACTTATTCCTTCACAGATAGTCACACATTCCTTTGCATACATTTATCTATTTTTTTTTCATTCATTCACTCTCACCCTTTCACCACATTATTTTTCACACAGGTATTTTAGATGTATGCGGTATACTGTTTTTGCTCCAGTATTGATAAGACCCTAAACTTAGATCATGGTTTTTAAATTGCTACAAATTGGCAATGAGTTCTGGAGCAGAGACATCCCCAACCCCACCGATCCTTATCTTTGCTCTTTATAATTGACATACTGTAACTGTAGCTGGCAGTTAGCCACACATATAGAAACATAGAAACATAGAATGTGACGGCAGATAAGAACCATTCGGCCCACCTAGTCTGCCCAATTTTCTAAATACTTTCATTAGTCCCTGGCCTTATCTTATAGTTAGGATAGCCTTATGCCTATCCCACGCATGCTTAAACTCCTTTACTGTGTTAACCTCTACCACTTCAGCTGGAAGGCTATTCCATGCATCCACTACCCTCTCAGTAAAGTAATACTTCCTGATATTATTTTTAAACCTTTGTCCCTCTAATTTAAGACTATGTCCTCTTGTTGTGGTAGTTTTTCTTCTTATATATGACTCTGCATAATATGTGTCACAGACATCAGAGTTAATGACAATAATCAGACATTGTAAGATAATCTGCACCAAGTACTCTTAAGACACAAAGTACTCATTGAAACTGAGAGATAATTCTAGCCTCCAATGTCCAATAAATATGCTTTTTATCTTTACATAATTTTCTACCTCTACCCAGCGATTCCACAGAGCAAAGCTGTCCAATCGTGGCCCTCCAGCTTTCCATTAACTACAGTCCCCATAGCAGACAGGCAGAGCATTGTGTATTCTAACCAAGGCTGCACTAATGTCAGAGGATACATTATACATCACATTGCCAATCTTTCAGTTACAAAACGTTTTATGTTTAATACTCCACTGAAATATTATAGTAATATCTAACGAGATACAATCAGACCGTCTTACCTCTGCTTGATTGTCTGTATGAAGATAACAGGTCTTTTTTGTATATTGTATATTTGTCACGCAGGATGTGGACAGGAAGTAACAGCAAAGACAACAATCTATGCGAATTGCCACAATTCTGACTTGACTGGAAAAAACACAATCACCTCTAGTTTGGTACTTAGTATACATTATATATAGTGAACCTGCATATACAGTGAGCTGTTATATAAACCGACATGATTCATCACCATACAATGCACTCAGTGTTGAATGGTGTGGATTATATTACACATATAGCTTCACCTCCTCCTAAATTCACAGCATCTTGGTTACCACTTGACTAATCTTTTCTCAGCCACTGTGAAATCTGTAGGTCAATCGGTAAACTACTTGTTCCAAGGAAACAGCTCAGCGGGCAAACTGTATGGACCGATTAATGTCACGTCTCACGCACACTGAGCCAGAGAATGCTATCTATAATTAATCAATTATCAGAAAATATAATCAGCTCCTATCACAATCAGCAAACACAATGGTCTGTGTGGCTCTATATCTATTTTATGACTATCCTAAGTCTTAGTTATTGTTCCCTTGACCTGCGGAATATAGAGCATTCTACCTGTCTACCTTGTTAGTTGTTAATCCTGGCACTCCTATCGTTTTCATGGGTGGAGCTTGGGTTAGCTAGCAGGTGGACATGCATAACTAAGCATCTGAGAACAGCTAATTAATTTCTCATAGAAATCACTAGAATGATACTCTTACATACACAATGCAACCAATGCAAACCTCATTTGTGGCGGAACCAGCCTCGCTACTGGGCCACTGGGAGAAGACTGATTGCCAGCCTCCTGCCCTGTGACTATGGCCCCTCTTATCAGCCCATGCTCTACTTAAACCCCATGGCGATTTGACTGTGTTTGTGGGATCTGAGCGCTGTTTGAATATATTGAGCGCTCAGATCCAAGCCATCTGGGGATAGGTTGAATGTGGGGGTTCTGTTCAGTATGATAGGAATTGTGTATTTTTGTGTAGTTTTGCTGTTGTTGTGAATAGAGATATTTTCTGTACCTGGAGATAGTTGGCATACCACACCCAGTTATAGAGGACTCCGTGGAACTGGTTTTGGCTGGAAACCATGCTTCAGTTGGTCATAAAGGACTTCAACCTAACTTTTAAACCAATGGAAGGAATTGTCTGATTTTTGAGTATGTTTGTATTTGGAGTATGCTGATTATGAAAATGTAAGTTTTATGTGATGTATACTTTTGGAGTTATGAATATTGTGCAAAATTGTGTATTTTCCTGCCTGTGATAATTAAGTTAGTCTATTGTGTTGAGATAATTGTATCACAGGCAGAGGGGAGGATTTATGCTGGTATGAATGGGAGTGTTTAGTTGTGTTGTAATGTATTGATTGGTTGTTCTTCAACCCTGTGGGCAGTACTATGTTTGTAAAATGGGTGTGGCGAAAGTAATCTCGCCACTGGTTTTGAAGGGGCCTGTTTGCCAGCCTCCTGTCCTGCGACTATGGCCCTGGGATGTATTGCCCTTCTAGGAACTGATGTGGGCATACTTGATTTTATTATGCTGCTGCTGGCCCTTTAAGAACCATCTGGGGACATAATGTGGAGTTACTGGGTGGCCACTATTTCTAGTATCAGAGGCACATGGTGAGAACAATGGATGAAGCACATGGTGAGAACAATGGATGGCAGCCATTTTAACTCACAGACACTGTTTGGACTTTTCTACACGGTGCCATCTCGCTGGTATTTGGTGCACAGAGACATCGTGCAGTAGTTTTAAACTATACAACAGGGGACACATTATACAGTAATTATTTTTCATTTAGCCTGTATATGTTCTGCGGAATCTGTATCTTCCAAACTACTGAACGGAGGAGGAGTCTACGGTGGTTATGGTGTCGGCTGGAGTGCTGGAGTGCTTGGAGCCCTCAGGAAGCGATAGGAGCATCCTTCAACGGAGGTACCCAGTCGGGGTGCCCGTCGATCCGTTACATCATTCCTTAAAAAAAACAAAACATTTTTTAAATGCTCATGCAAGTGAAAGTGCATTTTCCTTTTATTTTTATTAAATGACTAAGCACATTGACATCCACAGCTTAGGAAAAAGGGGCAATTGCCCATCCATCGCTGAATACAATTTAACTGGGGTCTATAAATGGCAATGATAATAATAATAATAATAAAAGTGACAGTGCTTACATACATTATGGCTTTGCTACTGCACCCTGGATGGTTTTCTGCAGCTACCTCAACCACGGTGTGGCATTACATTCCTAGCAGGGCCATTGTTAATAATGAAAACCACAAACAGAATCGGGATACGGCTGTATAATCTATAAAGAGAACATATAAAGACACAATAGTGTAATACAGTATGCACAATAGATCTTGCGCTGTTAATGAATGCATGTGTTACTTTACAATTTGTTATAGTGTATTTGATTTTATTATTACGGTCCCTGAAGAAGTTCTTAACGGAACGAAATGCGTTGGACCTACCGCTTTATTCTTATCTTTTGTACTTATGGTGTTTTCACCTTTTAAACAAATAAAATAATTTGATTTTGACCATCATCTACCTGGAGTCCCGTGTACCATTGGCTATCTCGCATTGGCAAGGGGATCACTAGCCCCCCACATCATCGGGGAAGGCACCTTGTGAGCACTTATTTCTACGCTATCTCGTGAGTGCATTCATTAACAGCGCAAGATCTATTGTGCATACTGTATTACACTATTGTGTATTTATATGTTCTCTTTATAGATTATACAGCCGTATCCCGATTCTGTTTGTGGTTTTCTGTATTTTGTAAAGGTCGTTTGTTGTGGATAACGATCTTGGGAGGCTGCACATTAATTGAAGCTAAGTAATTTGCACTACATTCTATTGATATTGTGGTGTTAAAATCTGTTAGTTTTTTTGCCATTGTTAATAATGGTTGGACCTTGGGCAAACATTTGATTGGGCTCCCTGGATCCTTCCCCCCACTTCTTGACACAGAGGCAGAACTAAAGTACAGAGGGCCCTAGTGCAAGACTTATTTTTGGCCCTGCCATTGCAAAGGTGGCAACTCATGCAACTCCAACAAGGCTTTGACAGCTGGGGCTCTACCACTTTCCCAATGCATGCAAGGTTGTATTTAGCACTGAGCAGTGTTTGTGTGTTTGAAAGTAGCCATGTTTTTGAATGGAGTCTGTTTGTGTGAATGTAGGGGTGTGTTTGTATGTGGTGTTGGAGTTTGAATTCAAGTATAAATTTATGTGTAGTATTTGTTTTTAAATGCAGTGTGCGTTTATATTTCATTTTGTTGTTAAACACAGAGGTGTGTTTGTATGTAGTGTTAACATTTCAATGCAGGAGTGTGTTTGATTGCAGGGGTGTATTTGTGTGTAGTGTTGGTGTTTGAATGCTGAAATGTATACACATACACTGCCACACACACACTAAATACATAAAGATACACAGATACCCACAATGACAACATAGAGATTCCCACACTGACACACATACAGACACACAGACACACAGATACAAACACTGACACACATACAGACACACAGACACACAGATACAAACACTGACACACATGCAGATACACAGATACACACACTGACTATATACAGATGCACAAATATTCACACTGACATCTACACACACACAGATACACACTGACAACATACAGATACACAGACACATACTGACACATATTAACAGGCCTGCTGACACATTACACCATGTTTTGCCACAACTGTTCAATGGTAACTTTTAATAATTCTACCTAAACTGCAATTATGATGGTATTTAAAAAATAATTCTAACAGAACAATTTCAGCACACTTTAAATTATTGATTATTTATTAACATAATTATAATTATTTATTAACATGTCCTTGATACAGTGCAGAGCTTTCTCTGTATCTATTAGTTTCCATCTCTCTGCCGGTATAGCTGATCTACCACGAGCTATTTCTGCAAACTGCCCGTTAAACTTCTCAAAAATATATTTACAGTAATCAGAGGACTCAATGCTGCGGTCAGGTTTGATGTTTTTCAGAGTTCTTCTTTTTGTCAGTGATATATTTTAATATCCATTTCCAAAAGAACTCATATAAATGAAGGTAAATAAAATATTCTTCAAATGTCGCTTATTCCAACAGATTCTCCAATACAGCAGCTTTGTAATATAATTGACTATGAAATATAATATTTTTAGAGCCATTTTATATTATCCGTTATTTTTTCTGTAAATATATTCGGGCTTCAGCTGGTTTCAGACGATGAAGGCAACATTCTTATGCCTTGTGATGGCCTGCATATTTATTATTGCACCTATTGAAAAAAAGTTAAAAATACATTTTGAAACATTTTCCGGATAAATATTTGTGTAGCACTATTTTGATACAATTCTCCTAACAGTGTCAGAATTTTTCTCTAAGTATTTGTAATAATATTTGTAATTTTGCAGCTCATGTGTCGATGTTGCTGGTTCATCATAGAATTACTTATCGTGCGCTCTCGTTAACTGATCAATCTGTGAATTCACTTGGTCAGCGTGGTCTTAGATTCTTCTTTTAACGATTACAGTATTTGATATGAAATAAATATTGTATTTCCTTCTTTATATCCTCAATATCATATTTTCCCTTTCTGCATATTTAAAGTCTCATCTTTTAATTACCGATGATTTCAAGATTCTTTTTTAGAGATTTAAAAAAAAAATTCAAATCTACTTTGTATTTTTTATTAATATGTACATTTTCATTTTATTATTGAAATATTTGTCTATCAACTCGGCCATTTTTCTTTCTTCCTCAAAAAACACCCTCTGTAGATTGTCCATTTTTCTAAATATTTCTAAATATTTCTGTTTGTAATGTATCTCCTGACTAATTCCTAATCATGATTAAGGCTTCATAAAGCCGAAATGTTGCACTTATTTATGAAGAGACTTACCCTTTAATAAACACACTAGACAAGTGCAATTTGTTTCAGTCCGAATATGAATTCGGACGAATTTCAGGCAATTCGGACATTCGGAAGTACATGCAGATACACAGATACACACACTGACTATATACAGATGCACAAATATTCACACTGACATCTACACACACACAGATACACACTGACAACATACAGATACACAGACACATACTGACACATATTAACAGGCCTGCTGACACATTACACCATGTTTTGCCACAACTGTTCAATGGTAACTTTTAATAATTCTACCTAAACTGCAATTATGATGGTATTTAAAAAATAATTCTAACAGAACAATTTCAGCACACTTTAAATTATTGATTATTTATTAACATAATTATAATTATTTATTAACATGTCCTTGATACAGTGCAGAGCTTTCTCTGTATCTATTAGTTTCCATCTCTCTGCCGGTATAGCTGATCTACCACGAGCTATTTCTGCAAACTGCCCGTTAAACTTCTCAAAAATATATTTACAGTAATCAGAGGACTCAATGCTGCGGTCAGGTTTGATGTTTTTCAGAGTTCTTCTTTTTGTCAGTGATATATTTTAATATCCATTTCCAAAAGAACTCATATAAATGAAGGTAAATAAAATATTCTTCAAATGTCGCTTATTCCAACAGATTCTCCAATACAGCAGCTTTGTAATATAATTGACTATGAAATATAATATTTTTAGAGCCATTTTATATTATCCGTTATTTTTTCTGTAAATATATTCGGGCTTCAGCTGGTTTCAGACGATGAAGGCAACATTCTTATGCCTTGTGATGGCCTGCATATTTATTATTGCACCTACTGAAAAAAAGTTAAGAAATACATTTTGAAACATTTTCCGGATAAATATTTGTGTAGCACTATTTTGATACAATTCTCCTAACAGTGTCAGAATTTTTCTCTAAGTATTTGTAATAATATTTGTAATTTTGCAGCTCATGTGTCGATGTTGCTGGTTCATCATAGAATTATTTATTGTGCGCTCTCGTTAACTGATCAATCTGTGAATTCACTTGGTCAGCGTGGTCTTAGATTCTTCTTTTAACGATTACAGTATTTGATATGAAATAAATATTGTATTTCCTTCTTTATATCCTCATTATCATATTTTCCTTTTCTGGATATTTAAAGTCTCATCTTTTTAATACCGATGATTTCAAGATTCTTTTTTAGAGATTAAAAAAAAAAAAATTCAAATCTACTTTGTATTTTTTTTATTAATATGTACATTTTCATTTTATTATTGAAATATTTGTCTATCAACTCGGCCATTTTTCTTTCTTCCTCAAAAAACACCCTCTGTAGATTGTCCATTTTTCTAAATATTTCTAAATATTTCTGTTTGTAATGTATCTACTGAGTAATTCCTAATCATGATTAAGGCTTCATAGAGCCGAAACGTTGCACTTATTTGTGAGGAGACTTACCCTCTAATAAACACACTAGACATGTGCAATTTGTTTCGGTCCGAATATGAATTCGGACGAATTTCAGGCAATTCGGACATTCGGGTACTTCCGAATGTCCGAATTGCCAAAGTGCCGAATTGCCGAAGTCCAGAAGTTACAAAATTACTGAATTTCCGAAGTGTCAAAGTGCCGAAGTGCCGAAGTTCCAAAGTTGCCTAAGTTTTGAAGTGTCAAAGTGCCAAAGTGCTGAAGTACAGTATTGCCTAAGTACTAATATACTTACCCAGTGAAAGAAGAAGAATGTTACATTGTATTCAATTTTAACCCCTTAAGGACTGGACTGTTTTTGCGATGTTGTACATTTGCGACCAGGCATATTTTTACACTTTTGTGGTGTTTGTGTTTGGCTCGAATTTTCCGCTCTCTCATTTACTGTTCCCATACAAATTATATATTGTTTTTTTTCAGGACAAAAGGGGCTTTCTTTACATACCATTATTTATATAATCTCATGTATTTTAATTTAAAAAAAATAAAAAAATATGATGAAAAATTGAAAAAAAATACATGTTTTTGACTTTTACTTGAAAAATCTTTTACTCAT